TCTAAGACTTCTTTGCTCAAACCTTTTGTCCAAAACTTCTTTTGCTTAGATTCAGAATCCAAGACTTCCCTGCTTAATCAAAACAGATCAAGACTTTTCAATGCTTAAGCACACAGCAAGAGATTTACTTGGCTCAAGCTTTTCAACTAAAGACTTTGATGCTTAAACACATAGTATGATACTTTTAATCTTATCTGCTGAATAACATGTTCAGTAGATAAGAGAACAAGGTGTACTTGATCCTGAACCAGAGGTGCAGGGTAATAACCTTAACAAATACCTTAAGATCTCAAGATTTCCAAAATATTCAATGTTTAGAAAATCTTAAGGATATTTACAATTTACAACAATTAACATAAGATTTTGCATATTCAGTAGTGTTGCTTATTGTTGATCTTGTTATTTCTTCATTCAGATAGAGGCGCTGAACACCATTATCCTCTTTGGCATTCCTTCTTTATTCCTTGTTAAAGATTAAAGTAGAACCTTCAGCTACTTATATAGCAGATTTCAAAGAACTAGTCGTTGTAGAGATAACTTGATCAAATGTCTTTGTTCTTCTCCATAGTACAAGAGATATTGAGGATAGATACATAGAAGATCTTGATCCATTGTGAATTTTTTTTAACCATATCGTCTTCAGAAGTATCCTGTACTATAGAGCTGTTGAGAGTGGTTATCCATAAAGCATGTCAACTCTTCTTGAGCCTTGTGATCATAGACTTTAGCTGACAAGTTGATTTGACATTACAACTTACTTTCTATATTACAGATAGCTTCAGCTTCGCTACAACTTCCGAACAATCACCAGAAGCCAATATAATTACCAAGTGTAGAAATAATGTGTTGCTTCTTCTAATGGTGAGGCCTTCAGCTTTAGAGTTTCCAGCATAAAGCACTTAGCAAGTGTTCTTTAAGATTTTGTATCATCAGAAGCTCGTAACTCAACTTCACTCAAGTGTGTCTTCATATCAGATTTTGAATATATCTTCTAAGTATAAGAACCTACATACATGAATAAACATTAGATAATGTCATTGTTCTTTAAATACTTTTGTTATCATCAAAACTAAGGATATATATCATAAATAGATCTTGTTCTAACATAAGTGACTTTAAGCACAAGAGGGGGGTTGAATTGTGCTATTTAAAATTCATGATTTCTTTTATACTTTTCTCGATTAAGATCGTGTTGGTAGTTTATCAAGAGTGAATAGCAGCTGAAATAAAAATAGTACAAGTAAATAGTAGAAATTAAAAGGATAGGGTTATAGAGATTTCACTAGAGATTCATACAGGTTTGGTCGTATGCGCACGAACCTTTATACAAACTAATCTTGATATTTTTACATACTTGTCCCAAACCAAAGATAGCTTTTACCACATGTTAAGCTAACGAGTCTTCTTAGAGATTTTCAAGCTGATCTTAATAACCAAAAACATATATGTTTCCATCAAAGCTCAATAAACCAAAACAAAGATTTTATGAATGGTTTATCTCATGAACCAAACTCAATTTTCTCAAGAGCTCTCAAAAAACAAACAAACAACACAACCACTTACAAAATCTTCCTCATAAGCAAAGTTTCACTAAAAAACACTAAGTAAAATAAAAATGTTTCTAGAGAGAAAAAGAGAGAAAATAGAGAGATAAATTTCAAAGAAAATGTAAAGTTATGTGACACATTGCAAGTGCACGAATGTGCGAAGCAGTAAAAAGTTATCAAACCACAGAGACCAATGGTTTAAGTACTGAATTTCGTCCTATCGGTGTATATCTAAAAAACCAATAATAAGAGTTTTAGTAAAAACAACTTAAATATATAAAAAAACACTTAAGTGAAAACAACTTAATTGCAAAATCACTTAAATTCCAATTGAGGCAAATATGGTCTAAGGTTATGGTTCTCACTCTAACACATTCGTACAATCCGGGTCACTTCTATTACGAGATTTCAGACATAATTTATAGAAAATAGATAATTATGGACAATACCTTCTTTCGTCATTGCCTTATCGATGACGAATAATTTGTCTGCTTTCTCATGGCGGGGTAACTCGTCAGGGATTCGTTACTTTTTCTTAGCTATAAAACTTTCTCAAATTTATCCAAGCGCTTTCACTGTATTGGAATTATTTGTTTAAAAACTTGTGCTCTGGTACCGATATGTATCCTTTAAGACTACAACCAGTACTTGAGAACACTTTACTTTCATACAAGATTTATAATGCATGAACTCAGACAATAAAATAAGTTTAGACAAAATACTCTTGTAATCGACATGTCACAGATCATACAAACCGTTATAAGATGATCCTCATAACCCCTAGTCCTTAATGGATTACTCACTCATGCTGAGGGCAAACACAACCAATTCAATACTCACAAATGAATTCATAATGGACAATTGAAATAAACAAGCAATTGAATATGAAAACAAATAATAAAACTTGAATTGATAACTTTAATCTAAATTGCTCCAATGGATACTTGGGTACAGAGATAATGAAAAATACATAGAAACTTTGCAAAATGAGAACTGGGATCCTAAGCTCATAACCAAGTATGAGTTATATAGAAAAATCTAAACTTAGCTCAATATCTTGTTATTCAATAGTCATTACATCAGAATATCTCCAATCAAATCATGCTTAAAAGCTAAAAATATGAGTATCAATCTAAAAAGGAAGAAAATAAAATATGTCTCGCCCTCCTACCATGGCCCGTAACAGCTGCTACTGGTGGCTGTAGCAGGTCTTTGATTCATGTACTGGAAGCTTTAAAATGGGGAACCCTAGATCACTGCTGCTACGGCCCGTAGTAGCCCCCTAGATTTTGAATGAGGCTTTCTGACTTTTGGCATTTTTTTCATGTTTCGCTTGTTTTTTTATCCTTTTTCACCTCGAACATTCATTAGTCCCTGGAAATAGTAAAGACACACAACCAAAGTGTAAAATACGATAAACGAAAATAAAACTTACAAAAGGCGATATAATACTAAGTAAAAACTACTAGAAATAGCGGTACAAAAACCACTTATCAAACTCCCTCAAACTTAGATTGTTGTTTGCCCTCAAGCAATAAAGCTTGCTTATGCGAATTTTTAGATCAAGTGGTCCACTACATGAAAAAGCATACAAAAATGAAGTTGTCAGTACTCATACATGGATTTTTGCTCCGATTGACTAAACCTAGTTCTCTCGGTAATCACTTGACAAAAAATGTATTCATAAGAACACTAATCGCGGTAAAGCCACAAACCTAGTTCTCCCCTTTCAAACACCTCTCCAACTATGCTTTGCACTTAAGTCTCTTTTTTGATATTTCCTCCCTTTTCATTCGGACAATCAAATTAAGACAATTCGAATTATTTTTTGTCATCACATCCAAAAGACCAGTCGAGAATTTTTGTTCAGACGCTATTTTCAATTTACTATTTATTTCGATGAAGTTACACACTTTTGTGCTCTTATTTATCCGTTTTAGGACGACGTTTGGAGTTCAACCACCGTTAAGCTAAATAATTCGGTGAGGATTATCCAACTTAGAAGGTGTAGTTGTCTTTTACCGTCTTTTCATCATTTTGGTGCTAAAATTATTTGTTTCCAAACCAATCATACATGTATACAAGTCTAAATTATTTTGTATTGTCATTATAAACTAATAGATGAGTACTTCTCAAAAACTGAATACTATGGCACAAATCTACATGTAGGACTTGTGTCCTACTTTGAGAAACCTATAGTGTTCATATAATATCTAAGTTATCAAACTTTCACAATATCCATAGTCCTAGTCTTTCCTCCCTCCAATTTTGCATACTTTCTCATTTTTTCCATAACTGAAATTTTTCAAGAATTTTTCTTTTCACAGTCCTAATTTAAAAAATGATCTTTTGAAACAAAATATACAGAAGAACAAGAGAAAAACGTAATCATAAACATAAAAGAGATGTTTCAAAATATACATAAGAACAAGAGAAAAACATAATCATAAACATAAAAGAGATTCGACATATCATCGGTCTGTGTTCCATCTAATACAAATATTGCCTTGTCAAAAAAAATTAATGTGTCACCTCTCAATACATCTTATTTGTTTTCTAATTCATATACATATACATTCTAAAAATATAATACAATTTTAAAATTTAATACAAAAATTAGAGTTAATTTTTTATTAATTAAAAAAAAGTCTAATTACTAAAAACATAATCATTATCAATTCAACAAAATCCATTTAATTTATGTTTGTATATTAAATTCTAATTTTATTATATATTTCTCCAATAAAAAGTAAAATACTAAATTCATATAAATTATTCATGTAAATAAAAATATTCATTTCAAAATATTAAATCTACATATGCAACAAAAACAAATAAATTAGAAAATAGTTTTTATTATCAATAAAATATAGCAAAATCAAATAACTACACCTAATAATTTTTAACATAAGATATTTTAATATATAAAATATCACTTCTAATTTATTCATTTCAAACGTTTGAACATAATTTAACGAAAAAATCACCATTTTAATATATATATATATATATATATATATATATATATATATATATATATATATATATATATATATATATATATATATATATATATATATATATATATATATATATATATTGTTGAAGTTCTCATAAGTAATAGCTTCACTTTAACTTATGGCAGGTGGGAATGCAATGCCTGTTAAAAAAATATGCAACAGATATATATATATATATCTAGGAGCAATAAATTATCCAAATAAAGATGAGGCTAAACGAATATGCAATCCATAAATTATGAAGGCAACCCAGTTTATTGTTGCCACTTATTAGAAAATGGTCAAGGTTTATAGTAGTGAAAAATTGTGGTCCATATAAGATTTCATCAAAGCTGTCCAAGATTTCTTCTTCAACGAAAACATTCTACCACAATACTAATACATTTCAACATCGAATTTCAATCAAAATAGCTTCATGCAATCCTCAATGCACTTATGGAAGGGTTCGTTGATATAGGGGCAAACCTCCCAATGACTCCCGCTCTGTTCGTTCCCTCTTCACCTGAAAAATAAGAAACGGAAAGCATTAAGTATCACTTTCTGCTACATGTACATATAATTTCCCCAAGTCTGTACAACAGTCATCCAATCACAGATGAGAAATTGCCACATGCTTCCAATTTTGAAAGTAAATTACATTCATGCCATTAAAATAAGAGAAGTGGTAACAACACATTATTTAATACCGATCCTCTTATTGGGTGAAAGAGTGTTATAGTTAGTTTTGCTAGCACTATTCATCAAATTAAAACCTGACAAGTAGGCTGGACCAATGACAGATTGATTTTATAACACTTCAATTTAAAGCAATGTTCTTTGGCATATTACTCTCACACTTAGTTGGGATTATGATGAAAATGGAAGGAAGTGCAAAGAGACAATGAGGTGATTTTATATTTGTTTGGGTAAAGCACATAGAAAATGAGATAATGAGTGTTATCGATAGAGGAAGGCAAAATAACCCAGAAACGCAGCATAGGGACGGACCAATGGTGCAGCCATGACAGATATCCCAACAAAAATTGCATAAGGTTGCTGTCCGAAATCTGCCACACCATTCCCACATGGGGGCACCATAGCTCCCATTTAACAGTGTCAGAGAGTGTTTAATTTGGAGGCATGACTAAAGGTTTTAAACTGGGAGTGGTTCTCTATGGGACTCTCAAACTACGAAGATAGAAAATAACACAGATAGCAAGGGATGGAAATAGAAGATAGGAAAGTGGAACCTAAACTGAATCCAACTTCCCTTCGCAAAAAGAGTGGCTCTATAATTGTAAATTAACAACAATCTGTTACCCAAATGCATCAGAAACTCTTGAAGAAAACAACCCAGCAAGCCATCCAAGTTAGAACTTTGTTCCAACCTATCAATGCTTTAGAGTCAGTATCAGCTGGTACCATGCCTGGACTTTTGTAGTATCCACCAGTAACTCAGCTCAAAGGTGGGATCTGGAACCCCTCCTCACAATCAAACTGCCATGGCCTATGATTGTAATGTTTGTAGCAGGACTTGTCTTGGTTCGGAAGTTAAACTTCTAGACTGGGTGAAATTTGAAGTTTTTTTGGGTCATTTACCATGTCACTCCCATGTACATGTGTTAGGCCACCGATATGGGGAAACCATGTTAACTCCCATCTACATGTGGGCTCATTGAATTAAAAAAAAATTTCCTTATTTTTTCATTTGATTTCAATTTATAAGGCTTTGTATTGGATATAATAAAAACAAATTCTTATTGCAGTTTCCATACAATTTGAAAATAAGTGATAAACCGAAAATAAGGAAACATTTTTGTAAATAAAAAGGTGGAAACGAGTAATGAAAATAAACAATGAAAACAGAAACACGGACCCAACCTATACTCTTAGATAGAAAATAACTTCTAATAATCCATCCATTCCAGTAAATATGAACTAACAAAAGGAACAAGGAAAATGAATTGAAACATAAGATATTTCATGCTTTTAAAATTATAGAAAACAAAGAAAATCCTGAATTATGCAACTATATTTGTTGAAATGATTGAATTTCATTCACACCAAGAGTAGCATTTTAAACAACACATTTAAAAAAGATTGTAAGTATATTAGGGTACAAGACAATTGCGACAGGTAAAGGAACTCACACCAATTAACATTGTCAAGTTCAGAACCCAGAAATGTTTAATAGAAAGAAAAGAAGAAAAAAAAGACAAACAAGCAGTATAGAATCAACCTCCATGAGATGTTATAGTAAAATACCAACGCAAACCCACCATCACATAATTAGTGACTTATATAACAAAAGTACTTACAAAGGTCAGCATCTCCTGAAGGTAGCTCCTGAATGGTGTTTGCATTGCCTGTCAAAAAAATGAAACAGAGGATACGAGTGCTCAAAACTTGATATTTATGTTCAGAACAGTCAGAAACATGCTCTTCACACAAGCACATAACAAGCAAGAGACTTAGATTTTCTTTGACATGTTTGCAAAGACAATATACAACTATCAAATCAAAGTATATTCAAAGAAAAGACACAAACAATGGACATTTAGCAAAAACTCAACCGTCACATAGAGGTTATATTTAGATATCCATTGATGGTAGAATGAAGTAAAATAAAACTCAAATTCATTATTTGGATAATTTAGTAAAAAAAAAATGAAATTAAATGCAACAAAAAATACACAAATACAGTCTTACACCTCAACAATAGGGAAGTAAAATCTAGAGTTTTGAATGAAATACATAACCCTGGTTCAAAATGAAAATTTATGCCACCACAACTGAGACAGCATAGCATAACAACTATTCTACGCAATTTAAAAATCATAGATATAAAATGAGATCCCAAATTAAACAATCTAAACAATAATCCTAACTCGCAATTGGATTCAACTGCACTATATTTCATCCTATTCTTATCAGTATAAACACATCCACAAGGATTTTCAATAAATTTATCAAAACATAACACAAAGGATCCAGCTCTATCTTGCTCCTAACTGAAACTTCACAACAGCAACCAAAATAAATAAATAAAATCAATTAAAAACCCTAACTAACCTGAAGATCCTCGGGGAGATACTCGTGCTTCATGGAAAGGTCAATAGCGCGCTTGAGACGCGCATGGCGTGCATCTACAACCTCCTTTGGAAGCCGATTCAGAGCCTCCTTGATATCAACATCGTAATATGGATCGTACAGATCGTCATATCGGAGACCTAATTCCGAAAAAAACAATACAATTTCACGAATCAATGAAACATAGTTTGTTCGCAAATTAGATTAGGGTTTGAGAAACGAAAGAAATGAAAGGAAGATTTAGGTTATCTAACCGTATTTGCGAAGGCGTTTGGAAACGGCTTTCATGTGCTGAGCGGCGAACCAGTTTTTCTTTGGATCTACAATCGCTTGCAGCAACGACGCCATTGTTGAACTTTGTTCTCTCACTCGCTTTTTTTCGTTGCAGTTTTTTGTTTTTCTCGAATAATCGAGGAGGAAAGGATTAACGTGCCTTTTTATTTTTCGTTTCGGCCTAAGAGTGCTCTAGATTTTACTCGCGTTACTTTGCCAATTCCATGGGAACGACGTGTCGTTTACTTTAGTTAAAGAGATTTATTTATTTATTTGGCAAAATTACATCAAGAGGTATCTAAGTTTTTTTTTTTTTTTTTAAGATTTTTTAAGTTTTTTTTTTTTAAAGATTTTTTAAGTTTTTTTTAACAATTTCATCTTTTAAAATTATAGATCTGTGCAGAGTTACTTTTCTTTAATATAGTAAAAATGCTAATTTATAAATACAATTATATTAAATTGTATGAAAATGATGAAGTGCAATTAAAAATACAACTGTGACACGTTTATGAATGTTCAAAATGTGAGAAAATTTGTATAAATCATCTTAGACGATCAAGTTGTTAAAGAAAATTTAAATGACCAATCTGTTAAAAAAAATTTTAGAGGATCTCTAATATAATTTTGCCTATTTATTTTTACAATTAATGAGATTATATTACTATTAAGGACTGAAAATATCTAGAGAGAAGTTGGAAAAAGTTCAAGATGTTTGATGTTACACATGTTCCGCAGGAAGAAAACACTCGGGCAAATGTATTATATAGACTAGCAAGTACAAAAGGTTATGGGGTTAGTCATTCTTTTGTCGAATAACCTATGAAGGTTCCAAGCATGGGAGCCTCGTGAGACGTGGTGTTGGTCGTAAGCAACACTAATCAACCCTTATGATATCTCCAAATATGACATATCCATCTCATTGTTAAGATTCTTGTAGAGGTAAGATGTTTCTTACACACTCTTGGAGGTACACAAGAGGATAGTCGAGAAACATCCGGGTTCTCGAGCAATAGCCAAAAGGTTTTGAGAGTAATGTATTATTGGCCATCTTCGTCCAAGGTTAAAGGAGTATGTGAAGAAGTATGATCAATGCTAGCGACATAGAGACATCTTTAATGCCCCATCGACAGAGCTGCACATGTTAACATCATCCTAGCCCTTCTTGTTGTGGGGTTTGGACATCCTCGGTTCATTTGTGCATACACCAGGCTAACTCAAATATCTAATAGTAACAATGGACTACATCCAAGTAGGTCAAAGTGGAAACCCTGACGAATATCATAGCAACGAATGTCTTGAATTTCTTCAAGCGGAACATCCTAGCCGTATTTAAAGTTCCTCAAGTCATTGCCACAGACAATGAAACACAATTTACAGTCAGGAAATTAAAAAGCTTGTTAAAAGAGTTAAAGGTTAAGCAACATTTTGCCTCGGTGGAAATCCGCATACAAATAGGCAAATAGAGAGATTTAACCGAGTGTTACTTAAAGGGATAAAGCGGAGCCTTAAAGAAGCCATAGGAAATTTCGTTGATGAACTACTGCATGTCTTATGGGCATTATCGAACGATGTTCCATTCAACAACCAGTGAAACATTTTCCTGCATTACTTACAACACCAAAGTTTTTATTCTAGTAGAGATTGAAGAACTGAGTTGGAGCACGGCTCATCCTTTTTCAGAGGAAGAAAACAACCGTACGATTAGGGAAGAAATCGACCTATTGGAAGAAAAAAGGGCATATGCTTCCTTCGCTAGTGCCATCGATAGGAAAACCACGACCTTCATATACAATTGACACGTCAGACCCAAAGAATATCAAACATATACTTTGTACTGCACAAGACCAATGTCGGGGGAAAAACGCCAAAGACTACAAGCTAGCAGTGAATTGGGAAGTGTTTTACATAGTTCTAGTTGGCATCGAAAATAGGGCTTACACCTTGGAAACTTTAGCAGAGGAGTGAATATCAAGGACCTAGAATATCGCTAAGCTAAAGTGATACTTCAGTTAAAAAAAAAGAAAAAGGAAAAGATCAAACTATTATCTTTATTTAATGTTCATATATAATAACATTTTTGTAAGAACAGAGTATGCCTAAGAGGGGGGGTGAATTAGGACTTTTGAAATTTTTCCGGTTTTTATATGGTTCTTGGAAATATACTGGATGGTGTTCTTGGTTATGGGAAGCAGTAAATCAACAGAAAGAAAAAAGACACAGGATTTATAGTGGTTCCCCTCACAATCCGAGAGTACTCCACTCCCCTTTCAACATGAAAGAGAATTTTCACTATTGTTTAAAACAGTACAACCTATCACACCATCAACCGGTGAGGCCTACTATCAAACAATAAAACTCACAAGTGTACAAGAACAATCCTCTTGTAAACACTCACCCTTGTGTCCAACAATCCTGGATCACAAGTCAAAATACAAAATAATTGTAATGAATTTGGATTGAGTAAAATTGTCAAAGTGATCTTCTTCAATGAATCAAAATTCACTCTTTGTAATTTCTTCAATACAAGTGTTCAATGAATGTGAAACTTTCAATGCAAGTATGAACACTTTTGAAAAATGAATTTGATTCTAAGACAATTTTAAAAATGAGTATTGGTTTTTTGTTGGTGTGTTTTTCAAAATGAAAAACTCAGAATTTATATGAGTAAAATAACCTTTCACAAAAGGTATGATTTTAAAAGATTCAAACCATGAAAAGGTATGATTTTAAAAAATAATTTTGAACTCAAAACAAAGCAATTTTTCACTGCACGTTCAGTGTTAATCGGTTAACCCATACGGTTAATCGGTTAACACTGGTACGTTAGCCCAGAAAATTCAAAATTCAAAATGGTTAACCGGTTAACCCATATGGTTAATCGGTTAACACTGCTAATTTTCAGAAAAATGCTTTTTAAAATTAATGTAATACCATTTTTAAAGTTTCAAAAACATGTGTATGTATTATGCACAAAAGATTGATGTTTTTGAACACTTGTATATCAAAATTAAAAAGGTGGATTTGATATACCAGTAATGCAGGCAAGTCTGGAAGAATCAGTTCCATATAGCTTGACTTGAAAGATAGCTTGACTTGATCTTGATGACTTTGAACAGCTTGTCTTTTTGCAATCAAGAGATATTAACTTTGAGTAGCATTGACATCATCAAAACTTGAGACTGAAGCATGCTTCTACATTCTCCCCCTTTTTAATGATGGCAATCAAAAAATGTTGTGCGATATCTCTTGGTTCTTGATCTGGTTCTCCCCCTATGTCTAGCAACTCCCCCTATCTTAACAGAGGAAAAAAATCTGCACACAGAGAGATATTAACAGAACCAAGCTCTTCTCCCCCTTTGACATCAGCAAAAAGGACGAGCTTTCAAAGAAATCACAAGATAGCAGTATATAGTAATAAGCACATGCAAAGCCAAGTAAACACAAGACACAAACATAGTACATATAAAATGCAGCAAATGGAAATTGTACTAGTTACAATAAAACATAGTTCAAATGAAAGCATAAAAACTTATAACTAGAATGCAAAGCAATAAAAACAACAGCAGCAGCATATTCTCTAAACATCCTCATCCGCCATATCCTCCTCCTCTTCTTCTTCATCACTATCAACCTCTTCTTCAATCTCGTCGTCCACAACTCGGGTGCTGGAATGAGGAGGGTTAAGTATGAGGTTTCTAAGGGAGGCAATTGCTCGGGAGGTCTCTCTATGCATATTCATGGATTCTCGATGCTGGTTCATCATGGTTGTGTAGAGAAACTCACTGGTCAGACCCCCTTCAGGCAATGGATAAGCGTGATGCACAGGACCATCATCAGTATACCTGTAGGTACCGTCAGCCGCCTTGATGATTCCAGTATTCTTCACAATATTAATCTCATTGATCTCATTCGTTGTAGGTTTCATCTTGGAGGATGGTTCTCTGTTGAGGTCAAGTTCAGTTAATTCCAGAATTCTAGAAACCAAGCGAGCATACGGCAGCCGGGTAATGCAATGAAGTTGTTGCTGCAGATGATACATAATAGTCAAAATCCAATTGACTCTGATGCGATTCTTAATAGCAAAGATCAGCTGCATTTCCAAGTCGTTGATCTGAGAGTGATTTGAGTCCTTTGGAATGAGGACATAGCAGATAATGTAGTGAAGCATTCGATCAGATACTGTCAGATTCTTGGCATAGCATAGCATACGAGCAGTGCGAGAGTTTGCAATAACGGTTTCTTTTGGGAACCTGCAAATCTGATAGTAATACTCCATTTTATCATAGTTTGCCCAGGGTCCATCTACATGGTTTACACCTTTTCTCAGAAAGCATCCCTTTGATGGGATCTTAAGGTGTCTAGCAAGGGTGGATAAATTCTCAACACACTCATGATCTCTAATGGTGGACCGGATCATGTGGTTCTCATCCATATCCAGATATACAGACATTTTATTCATAAAAGCTTTAACCAGATCAGGATAGATAATACCAGAGTCGGTGACGAACTTGTCGATACGCTGATATTCCAACAGAGTAGGAAAATCAAAAGATATTGCAGGAAAAGCTCGAAGATTCACATACTTTACCGGCATAAGTTGACGAACACGCACTTTGAAATCCATCCGTCTCTTCTTGGTGGTTTCCATTGGAATACTGTCGTCATCTGATTCTGATGCAGAATGGTGTTCTGGAAGTTTTCCCTTGCCGCGGTTTGATGCTGAAGCCATGGATGGAGGTTTGAGAGAAACTGGGGTTGTGGGTTCTGAGGAAGTTAGGGTTTGAGAAGTTATGGGGAGTTTTTCCAACTTTTAAGAGTGGGAGAGGGAAGTTAGGATTTAAGAGGGAATGTGGATTTTGGATTGGATGTGGATATTTAAAAGAATATGAACCACACAAAATATATAAAGAAAAAAAATAAAATTTTCAAAAAAAAATAAATATAATTTTCGTTTCTGATTTTTGAAAAAATTTACAGTGTTAATCGGTTAACCATATAGGTTAATCGGTTAACACATTAAAAAAATTTAATCAGAATTGAAAATTTAACAGTGTTAATCGGTTAACCCATATGGT